AATTTATATATGCCGACAGGCCATCACATACCTGTTCAGCTGACGTATCTACTTATAAAGTTTTGTTTGTTATTGTAATTTTCAGGTGTGCATATAATCGTATTTATTGCTTCTATACCTCTTAGTGTCTTCTTTTGCCCTGGCCATGTGCTGATTTTTCCCTAACAGTCGGTGCACTGCCTTTCCCGACTATCTGGCTAGTGATTTTCCTTTTCCCTCCCCCTGTCCCTGGTAACCATCAACAGAAGCTCCTTTCTCTACGCACACCTTTGTTGAGGGTGCACGACAATCTTCTGCACTATGCGGAGCCCTGGTGGCTCAGTGGGGTATGTATGCCCTGAGCTGGGAACCATGAAGTCAGAGATTTAAGCTCACCGGAATTGGAACTGACTCAATGGCAGTGAGTCTGGTTTCGAGTTACTTCACTCAGACTAATGTCTTCCACATTTAACCATTTTATGAGCTATTATAAGGATACGCCGTTATTCTTTAATATTACACTGTATTTCACTGGGTGTATGTACTATAGTTTGTTTATTCATTCTTCCAATGATGGGCCTTTAAGTTGTTTCCATCTCTTTGCTATTATGAATAATCCTACAATGAAATATATCTATTTATATATGTTATATGTAGATATAGTAAATATATCTATTTATCTGTGTCGCTGTTCTTATTTCTCGAGGCTATATACCTAGGGCCAATCAAAAGCAAACTCACAACCATTGAGTGTGTGCCGACTCGTAGCAACCTAGAGGACAAGGTAGAACTGCTGGCCCTGCGCGTTTCAAGACTGTAACTCTTTACAGGAGTAGAAAGCCCTCTTTCTCCCACAGGGCAACTGGTGGTTTCAGACTGCTGCCCTTGCAGCTAGCAGCCCAACATGTAACCACTATGCCGCCAAACTCAAACTCCAACCAAACTCACTGCCATCCATGCAGTGCCAACTCCTAGTGACCCTGCGGGACAGGGAGGAAGTGCCCGTGAGTTTCCCCCATGGCTCCCCGTATGTACCTAGTAAGGGAAGTGATTTCCCGCAGGCCTGATATCCTTGGCTAGTACCCAAAATCCAAGTCTTCCTTACGTTCCTTCTCACCTCTCCCACATCTCTAAACTGTTCCAGTCGTCCTTTCTCTGGCTTTAACTTCCCCTTACTCCATCCACCTCCATTCTTCCAGTGATGGGCCTTTAAGTTGTTTCCATCTCTTTGCTATTACGAATAATCCTACAATGGAAATGAGTATGCATATATCTATTTACCTATTTGAATCTTGCCAGTGTGATCTCTGTATTCCAGGTTTCATACAGGCAGCAAGCTCTGCAATCTGTAGTGAACTCTCAGAGCATTCTCGTCCTTATGCCAAATGAAAGCTGGCTTTCCTTTAAGGATACCGTGTAACCTCACGCCCACTCAAGGATAAGTCACTCTACCCTCCATGTTGTCCCACACTACGGAGACCAGGGCCATATGTTCCCAGGGGCCTGATGATACTTTCAGTCACTTACAACCATTCAAATGTTTACAGAGCATTTACTAAATTTCAAGCTTCTTACAGGTGAAAGTGCTCAGATGATAAAGTATGCTGGTGAGCCAATAGGGAAATGAGGAGAAGAGTAGGTAAAGTTGGCTACCAGATTAAAAAAAAAATTTTAAAGTAGCTACTCCACCTGTGTCATGTAAGCACACTCAGCCTTTCCTTCTGAAGTCTGCCTACATTATCCTCTACCACTTGGTGGCTTGTTCCTAGTGTTCCTCTCCATTCCAAATGCTGACATCACTCAGTGTCTAACGGTCATGACACGCATGTGGCGCACAACACTTCTGACACCCAATACTTCAGTTGGTTACTCGTTTCCCAACCCCTCCATCTCCATTGCATTTGTTCCACAATTGCAGTGCGCTCTCTAGAGCCACAATTCCTTCTCTTTCTCCCAAACGCAGCCATCTCAGCCTCTGCGGCTTTTCTATTTTAGTAGTTCATAATTTTAACTACTGTGTTGCTTTGAGACTCTGATCTTCTGCCGCCTGACACTTCTGCAGCATTTGCTCTATTAAAACTATAATAATAACCACTTGTGACTTAGATACCACTCTGTGACTCTGGTACAAGGTCACCACCTACTGGGAAAAAGGAAAAACATCATCATGTAATATTTTTTTTAACCCCTAAGTGTCTGGGGTTTATATGACCAATTAAAAATATCAGGCAAAGAAAAAAAAAATATATATATATATATATATCAGGCAGATTTTCAAATGCCAGAATCTTTAGGCAATCCACATGGTCCAAAAATAAATTCAATTGGCACTGCCACTATAGACTCTTGAAGTGTCTACACACTATAGACTCTTTTGAAGAGCTACACTATCAGATACATATGGAAAACTCAATATATTTAGTGTAGGCAAATAGGCCAAGCCTTTGGTCTGAAAACCGAGGTTGAAAAGATAAAATTGAACAATTTAAGTAGTAAGAAAACCACATAAGATTCGATACATTTGAATGATGTTGGAGAAAAATATTGACAAACCATAGACTACCAGGACAAACAAATCTGTCTTGGAAGTAACAGTCAGCAGGTTCTTAGACGTGAGGATGGTGAAACTCTGTTTCATATACTTTGTCCATGTTATCAGGAGAGAGTATTCCCCACAGAAGAACATCATGCTTGGTAAAATGGAAGGTCAGTAAAAAAAGGCAAGACCCTTGGCCAGATGCGTTAACACAATGGCTGTAACAAGGGGATCAAACATCAAAATAATTGTGAGAATGGCACATGACCAGGCAGTGTTTCGTCGTTTTACCTAGGGCAGCTGCTGTGAGTCAGAAATAACAGCAGAAGTACTCATGGCCTTACTATTACAAAGCATTTACTTCAGTATCCTCTTGATTTCTTTTGAAATCATGCTCTACCTACAGAACAGTTGGTGTTATTTACACATTGACCAATCCTTTTCAGCAAGCAAGCTGAAAAAAGAAAGGAACAGTATGGACATACATGCTCATCATCTGAACTCATTCTAAAGGACTTCTCAGTTTGCCTATTCCAGGGCCGCACACCATCTAAAGAGAAGCAGGAGGACTTTGTAAGTCAGTAGTACAGATGCACAGTCGGGGCACGAGGGGTACAGAGCTAGTTTGGTCCCCTTCCCAATTATATAAAGGAAAAGTTACAGCCCTGGTGTTTGTATTCTGGCTCTAGACAGTACTATTTAGGCAGTTAACCTTCTACTAGTTCATTATGTTAAAGACTTCCCCTTTGAAATTAGAGCCAATGAAAACGGAACAGAAATTCTCCCATGGAATCCTGAGTAAATAATGTGTGACCATATTTAGAACCAGAGGAGCTGTTATTAAAAGCTATTTATAAGACATGAACTCTGCAAAGGCCTCTTCTCGACTGGGTGGCTTTTACTACGGCAGTCAGCATTCTGTTCTCCAAGTACAGACTTGCTTGAAAAGAATGATTTCTATCCCAGAATCACATGAAGCAAATTCTGTCAGACAATTTATTAAATCCCTGAAAATATCTGTTTTAAATCGTACAGGTGGAATTGCTCAATCATAAGACAGTATATTTTTAGTTTGTTTGTTTTTAAGGAACTACCACACTGTTTTCCACAACCTCATACCATTTGCATTCCCACCAGCAGTGAAGAAAAGGCTCCAATTTCCCATCATCCTTGCCAACCTTTTTTTTTTTTCTTTTTAAATCTAATGTAGTGTAATAATGGGAATGTAATAATGACTCAATTTGACTGGGGTTTGCATGTCTCTGTTGGCCGATGCTGAGCATCTATCTTCACATGTGTTTGATTGCCATGTGAAATGTCTATTCAAGTCCTTTGTCCACTTTATGATTGGGCATTTGTCTTAATTTTTAAGCTGTCAATGGTTTACATATATTTGGTTATTTGATTCCTATTGGATATATGGTTTCTTGAAGATATTTTTCCATAGGTAACTTGTCTTTTCACTTTTTGGGTAAAATCTCTTGGTGAACTAAGTCTTTAATTTTTATAAGGACCCATTAATTTTGTCTTTTGCTCCTTCCCCACAGAAGGCCACTGGGCTGATCCTGATTCATAGCCTTTCCGAGGCTGTAAATCTTTCAGATAGCAGACAGCTTCTTTGAGTGTGCTGGTGGGTTTGAACCACTTATTTTTAGGTTAGTAGTCCAAAGCTTAGGAGCAGCTCTGGTGGCACAGTGGTTACAAGTGGGTTGCTAGCCACAAGGTCTACAGTTCAAAACCATCAGCTGCAATTTGGGAGAAAGATGGGGCTTTCTACCTGCATACAGTTACAGTCACAGAAACTCACAGGGGAAGTTCTACCCTGACCCATAGAGCCCCTATGAGTTGGCATCCGGTCAATGGTCGCAAGTTCGGTTTATGATCCAAAGCTTACCCAACAGCACCATGACCCAGCCGTTAAACATCTAGGTTAGGTATACTCCCAAAGGAATTGAGGCCAGAGATTCCAAAGGAAATGTTTATAGCAATATTTGGAAGAATCAAAGGGTGGAAACAACTATTTATCGAGAGAAAAATGTAATTCTACTCAGCCGGTTGGAGATTTGAAGTTTTGATACACACCACAGTATAGAATAAAGCTGAAAGACATGTTGAGTGAAATAAGCCAATCACATAAGCACAGATATTGTATGACCTCACTTAGCATAAAAAGATTGTTAGGAAGAGCAGAAAGTGTTAGCAATTTTGGGTAGATTCTTAATTTTTATGACATAAAATAAAGCTTTCTTGTGAAGCTTATTAATATTTTTAAATTAGCTTTTTTCCCCCCTGAGAATTTCCAAAGGCTCACTAGATCCTAAATAAGGCAGCTCTAAACCAATATGGTCGGGGTCACTGAGAGCCGGAATCAACTCAATAGCAGTAAGTTTCGTTTCTGGAAAGCACTGAGAAAGAAAAGAGATCCCAGCAGAGCGGAGACTCAGGAAAGCACGCAGTTGTCTGCCACTTGAGGGCAAGGCCTTACCTGGCGATATCTGGGTGTGAATCGGTGAGAGTGCTGACAAATCTGAAGAACAGAGAGTCCTTCCACTTCACAAACTCCTCCTGTACAAAGATAAACCAGTGTCTTTCAGAATGAAGCTTCACACATAAACCACAAATGTATTCAGTCAGATAACCAACTGCAATCTTTCTTTTATTGAACATCACACCGTCAGATATTCAGTCTGTCTGCAGCTCATTACTCAGCACTAACACCCCAACCATCTTGAAAACATGTACCATTTGTTAATCACCATAAACGGGGTAGTATGTGGACAGAACAGCATCAATTCCAGCTATTAGAAAAATGGCTCAATGCACACAGCTCATCTCCTGATATTAGGGTAAGTGAGTTATGCGACTCCCTTTCCCAATTATGGAAATATAGAGAAAGAAAACATTATAGCTGTAAGTTCTTGCATGTGGTTCCAGACAGTATTAATTACATCATTAACTATACATACATAAGTTTATGTATTGCTAGATAAGTTTATATATTATAAATTTATAATTTTATCATTAGTAAACTCATGGTAGAGGAAGCTATTATTAGAAACAGCCAAATTTTAAAAAAATTTTTTCTGTGCATATTTTGTATTTATTGTTGCTTCATATTTGCTTTTTCACTGTGTTTTGGGATTAACAGTAGTTCTTGATTTTACTGCAGAGGGAATAGCCTTCTCTTTTGTAAACTGTACTTTTTACATGTTGTTTAAGAAATTTCCCTGCTCTGAAAACTTAAAGATATCCTTCTACATGTTTTTAAAAAAATTATTTTATTGAGGGCTCGTACAATTCTTATCACAGTCCATACATACATCCATTGAGTCGAGCACATATGTACACCTGTTGCCCTCATCAATCTCAAAACATTTGCCCTCTACTTTAGCCCTCAATATCATTTGCTCATTTTCCCCCTCCCTCCTGAACCCTTCATAATTCATAAATTATTATAGTTTTGTCATAAGTTACACTGTCTGATGTCTCCCTCCGCCCTCTTTTCTGCTGTCCATCCCCCAGGGAGGAGGCTATACTTAGATTCTTGTAATTGGTTCCCCCCTTCTGCCCCACATTCCCTTCACCCTCCAGGCCTCGCCCCTCTCACCACTGGTCCTGAAGGAGTCATCTATCCTGGATTCCCTGTGTTTCAAGTTGCAATCTGTGCCAATGTACATCCTCTGGTTTTTATTTTTTTAAAGATCAAATATTTTTTACCCCTCACAAGAAGGCAAATAGAAATATTCAACAAAATAGGCAACAAAAATTTCAACATCAAAAATAGTAATGTTTTATGGAACTACATAATTCACTAATGTACTTAGCTTATCAATTACATATATCAATTATGTCTTAGCACACTCCCATGAGACAGACAGGGTAAATATTATGAGTCCCAATGTCAAGGACAGTGACAGAATTGGAACTGGAACTACTTGTCTTTGTCTGTGTCTTGGGATACATAGTGTTCTATTGCAAAAATTAAACATCACACTGTTTTACAGAATAACTGAACACCCAAAATGAATATGATTAAATAATGACCTGTTTATAAGGTTGAACTAAACATTAGAAGAGCAATAGTCTTCATCAGACATGAGGGCAACTATTTTTAGACTCTATTACACAGCTGCATACTCCCTAAATTACTTTCATATTCTTTAAATCAGAAGCAAGGAAGCGGGGTGGGAGTGGAATGGGGGTTGTCTAATTTTTACCTGTAAGAGATTGGTAAGTAAGATGAGCGTTTGCTTTCGGATGAATGGATCTGAGTCCTTCAGACATACGGAAATATTGGGAATATATCTGTCCACCATGACAGTATACCGGATGCAGAGATCACACATGACAATGATGACATTGTTGCGGACAGCCACGTCACTGCACACCTCGAGCTCCTGCACGAGAGTTGGGAAGCTCCTCTTTGCCAGGTCCTCGTGCTGTAAGCACAACTTGCCTGTCATAAAGAAAGCGCACTGTCTCGTTGATTCTGTTCCGTCCCAGGCCCACGTCCCCATTTTCTCCACACACACCTTGCTAGGGGTTTTATTTATTCTGAGTTAAAACACTGGGTAAGAGAATTTAAACAACAGAAAAATCGACGTGAGAAAGACTGCCCACTACAGGTCTCCGCAGCTGTAAATCTTTATAGGGGCATAAAGCCTTACCTTTCTTGGAAGGAAGGCCTGATGGTTTTGAACATTGACTTTGCAGTTCAGAGTCCGATGTGTAACCCCACTACACAACCAAGCTTCTGAATTAGCTATTAGGAAGTTCACAATACCTTAACAGAAAAGAACTCCCCTGGGAAGTTCAGGAGATATATTCTACAGGCTGTTCCTCCATTCTAATAAAACTACTTCCCTTTTAAAATCAATATTTCAATTTTGCAGTTATCTCTTTACCTGAAAAGTGACCAGCAATAAAGCAGATGGTGTTATTAATTTTGACTATACACGTACTCTATAGAAGCTTAATACTTTTTAAGGAATTTGAACTTTGGGCGTGGTAAGCAGGAAAGATTGCTCATCTTATTTATTTCTTGTTCATAAATTAGGAGAAGGAGGCTACTGAGTTCTATTTATATGTTTGTCATGTGGTCTGCGGCTGTATTGATCCTTAGTTGTAATTCTCGGATATTTTTTGAAATATCTGAAAAATAGCCATACTTATAAAATAGAGGTCAGTGTTTCAAAGATTAACAATATGAGTTTATGGAGAAATATTCTTAATAGCTGATCTACCAGTTCTGGAAAGTATCAAATAAGCCATCTTCTTTTATAAACTAAATTTCAAATTTAATTGCCCATTTTCAAAACTTAGTAGAGTGCCTCCCATATCGTTTTCAATGCTTATGTTTCATGCTGCTATATGAGCAGTTCTCAACCCATGGGTCGCCTGATTCATAACAGTAGCAAAATGACAGTTATGAAGTAGCAAAAATAATTTTACAGTGGGGAGTCCCCATCACACGAGGAGCCGTATGAAAGGGGTGCAGCATTAGGGAGGTGGAGAGCCACTGTGCTACATGATGAGAACAAAGACAAGGGCACAAGCAGCTATCACCATAACAGGTTAACATAATCCTGCCAAATATAGACAGTTCCTCCCTAGAGTGTGTTCCCTATTTGCTAGTAGGGGTTGACAGCACTCCATTACACCTGTAGAGCTGGGTGCTCACTGAAGAGTCCCATGAAACTCACAAGAGCTAGAGGACAAGTCTAACCCATTACCGTGGCTAGGCTTACTTAGACAAGAGTACATACGGAAATGGACAGCGGAAACCGCACTCTTCCCTCAGCTCACCTTACCTAAGGTGATGATTGCGTGTGCTCGAATCATGGGAGGCATGGCAGCGCCTCTGAACGGGGAAAGTAGTTGCGAGGCCGGACCTTCACTGCTACTCTGAGATGACGTCACTACAGAGAAAGAGGGAAAATGGGCATTTACCGTACCTCAAGTGTTAACACCGCCAAAGGACAGCACAGGGTAGAGTCGAATGTCAAGTGCCTTACGGTGATTTGCATCAGCAGAAGCGGCCAGAATGGACTGAATCAGAAGGAAGACTCGCTTCTCCACTTTGGCTGGACACAATTGGGCTATGTCTCCTAAAGTAAAAATGCATTTCACCTACAAAAAGAATTAATTTTGTTGTAAAAATAAGGCAAAATAATTAACTCTAGCTTGATTAAGAATATGTTGGAATAAGTTTTTGTTCCACCAATTGAAAGAGCTTTACTATTTTTATTTCATAAAAGTACATAGTAAAAATTAAAACAGCACTGGCATATATCTGAAATTAGGGTAATCATATAATCTTATCACCTAAATCTTGGCACCTTTGTAAACAGAACACACTCACTCACGGCCATCAAGTTTATTCCACTTCATAGCAACCTTATAGGAGAGGACAGGATTACCCGTCTGGGTCCTGGTCGGTAACTGCCTATGGGAGGAGAAAGCCTGGCTGGTGGATCTCAAATGCTGACCAATTCGTAAGCACTACAGCTCCCAGTGTTGTGAGCAATAAATAGTGCTATTAATAACTATGCTGTGAAAACAGAATTAAATTAGGATTCTCTTGGGCAAACTGGAAAAATAAGGGAGCTTCAGAATGTGGGAAAATGGGGGGAAATAATGTTTGTGAGAAAATTTCATTAGCTCGTAGTTCCATTTTTCCATAAAGTTTCTGAGGCCTCCTTGTACAGTCACCTACTTATAATATCACTGCCCAATTACTATTTTTGTACATAACTGCCTTTTTTCAAAGCATGCTTAGTTTGCAGTTTGAATGTATTATTTTTATTATTAGGTATCCTTTCTTGTCAATAAATAAATGTTCAATTAAAGAAATAAGTATGCCATTTAAAAACAATTAATATTACAACCTATTTAACTATTCCACCACGAAGGAACATGCATGTTTATTTCTAATCTTTTGTAGTTGTTTACATTAATTCTAATCAAATCAACATATTTCTATGTCTGGACACAGTTCTATTTCCTTAGAAGTGAAACCCAGGTGTGTTGGTCTGGGTAGACTAGAGAAACAAATCCATATGTGTATAAAAATGAGCTTTATATATAAGAGCAACTGTACATTAAGAAAACATCCCAGCCTAGTCCAGACCAAGTCCATGAGTCCGCTATTAGCCCATATGTCCGATACCAATCT